TATCTACTCTTAAAATTTTAAAATTGTGTGCATTTGGTTCCTTAACGTCAAATTTATTCAATGAGGTTTCTAATTTCAACTTTTTTTCTCGCAATTTTATCCTTCAAATTTTGAAATATTTTCTTTTAATTCCCAAAACTTTATTTTTTTTTATTTTTTTGCATTCAATTCTTTTCTATACAAATAATAAAAATCAACTAAAATCTAATAAAATTACATTTAACCCATCTAAATATGACTAAATTCACTAAATAATCTATCAATTATGTGGCTTTTATCAATTTAGTTTAGAAACAATTTTTTTTTGCCAAAATAATCTATAAACTTTCAATATTGTATCAAAATGATTTATTTTACCAACATCCACTAACTAGACTAGCAAAATTCTTTCTAACTATTGACATAGTGCCACCTAATTCCCCACTTGCATGCCACATGGTAAAAAAAAAAAAATCTTTTAATGTATGAACTTTTAACTCTTTCTAAATTGAACTTCTTTTGTCAAATTTCTAATTGAACCCTTAGATTAATATTTTTAACAATTAAACCCTTCCAAAATTCAATTTAATTAAATGGGCACCCAATACATAATTAAAATTGCCTAGAAAAATAAAAGTGATTTCAATTTTATAAATTGCCTAATTAAAATCGTGCATGTGTTATTGATGTTTTAAATAAAACTAAAACTTTTAATTTTTTATACAAATTAATGGAAAAAATATGTAATTTAATAATGACATAAGTGTTTTAAAAAATACTAAAATTTAAATTATAATATTGATTATTATAAATTAAAATTAGAATCTTAATTAATGTAAAATAAAATTATCATCTTAATGAGTTTCTACATTTGATAAAGAACTTAAATTTAAAAAACAAAATGTTGCAAAAAACAAAACATATGTACTGCATTGAACATTTTTAAATAGTTCAGGGGACAGCTCGTCCTACTTCCCTTTTTGGGTCACATGGCATGTAAGTAGCGGATTAGGTGGTGCCATGTTAGCGGCTAGAAAATTTTCATTAATCTAGTTAATGGATGTTTGTCAAATAGACCATTTTGATATGTAATCAATAATTTATAGATCACTTTGAGAGAAAAAATTGTTTCTAAACTAAACTGATATAAAATTCATAATTACTATTTTATTTATTAAATTTAGTTGCTAAATATCAATAAAATCAAACCTAAAATAGCAATCTAATGTGTATAAAAATTCATCTCATTAGCAAGACATGGTATTTAGTTCCTTAGTGGGTGATAGAGAATGCTTTTAGCAGAGGAAGCAAGGAAAAAAAATAAGGCATTGTTATCCATGAGATATTATTTATATTTATTTTTCTAGAAATTCCTTTTGTTTCATAATTAAGTTAGAGTTCCCTTTTTGAGTCTATATTAAGTTATTGACTTCTCAATTTAAGATAAAAGCCATAGAAGTAATACAAAAAGTGAAATAAGTAAAGTAACTACTAAATAAAAAAGGAGATTTTACACATGTATGGACATCACTTTTTAAAATTTTCTTAATCACTATAAGAGAAAAGGATTTTAGTGACGAAAATTTGTGATGAAAACTTGTGACAAATTTTGAAATTGTCACTATAGCTTATTACAACTATGAAATATTTTAAAAATTAATCGTAAATGCGCACATGTTTAATGATGATGAAATAAAAGAACTTAATACTGTCACAGAGATAATATAAGCTTTTAAGGATGAAAATCATTACTAGAAGTCATCATAATTGTGATACATTTTAAGTGTTTGTCAAAAATACCTATATGTTCAATGATAATGAAATAAATCATTTCTAAAAAATGGTCACGCATAAAATATAAACTTCTAATTATAAAAGTCATCATTGTAACTCATCACAATTGTAACAAATTTCAAATATTAGTAATAAATTTCACCCATTTTCACCCATATTATATTTCAATAACAATTTTTTTTTTGAAGTTTCCATTTTAAGCAAATAATTATTTTTGGAGAAAAACTTGATTGCATAATAACTTAAATTTAGGGACTTAAGTTAAAATATTTTAAAAATTTAAGAGCAAGAAAAGTTAAAATCTTAAACAAAAATTGAATAAGTCAAAAGTTTTGGGATCAAAGTATTTATAAAATAAAAGATTAAGGATCCTGTTTACTAGTTTACCCGTGAAAAAATTGCCCCAAAACTCAACTCAGGTAAGGTGTCGACAATACCTTTTTGGTATTGACACCTTGCGTAAGGAATTTGCATAAATTTAAAGTAAAAGTAATGGCCGCCCAGTTTTTATATTTGGTTTAGTATGTGCTAAACATTAATTTTTTTTAAATAAAATATTAATTGAATTTAATTGTAATTAGATAATGTTAATTTTTTATATTTGAATTATTAAATATAACAAAATTTACAAATAAAATAAAATGGGGAGAATGTTTTTTTTTATAATGTCAATTAC